ACAGATCCACAAACAAAACAATCCATCTAGCCATCATAGCCTTGTGATCTGCTTTCAGATCTTCACCTCGCCGTTTGCGGAACGACTTTCATTTGCGATGTTCGCAGCTTTTAAACACCTTTGGTATAAGGCATCGGTTACTGGATCAGAGAAGCAAGCATTAGTGTCTGAACGCAGTTCTATCTCTACCTTTCTCCATAAGGTTCCTTGCTGGCCTTCTGGTCGACATCGTCGTATTCCAACTTCCACACGAGACGCTCACTGGCCGGAGTAAATGGTTCATGCCTAATCAGTTTCTCTAATAGGCCAAACCTCGTGTTCTTAATCCTCACGTCTACTGAGGTCGCCCATGCTGGAACAGAATGCCATCACTTCTAACGAACTTCCGCCATTTATTTTTCATTATGAGGTACGCAATTCAACTGTTGTTTTTGGTCCTTCGTTAAAACAGCTGTTTCAATGTCGCACTACATTGACCATAGAAGCAAAGTGTATGTGTGCTTTTTGGCAGTTATGTTCCTATTTCGGCTCAAATAGTGGACAAGTTCCCAAAAACACTCCAGGCTGAGATGAGCTTTTAATTAAACTTTGGCTTAATGGTATCATAGCTGAAGATGACAAAACAGAAATGATTACATTCTTCGACCTTCTCAAGCGCTTCACCTTCTTGTCCCACTTGTATATCAGCTACTATGGTAAAGCAAACAATTATCCTAATGAGAGCAAACTACAATTAACAACAATATGATTATTAACGTTGGCATCTTATCCTAAATGTGAAAAAACAATTTACCTGTCAGTAATCCTTTGGTGTTAACCTACCGCATGAAAGCACGCAGAACTCGGAAATTTTCTACATATGTAGCAAAAATATATAGACGAACAGCATAATTAAGCAAGCAATCGAACAGATTGTAGTTTCAGGAATCGCACATCCCGTTTTCAAATGATATCATAAAGAAAATCACCTCCGACCATTGTTTACTGACGACGAAAGCAACAGACAAGACATCAAAATACAATAAATACGTTTTCAGAAAACACTGCAGCAATTGAAAAGGTGATACACGGCTACAGAATTTTTACCTTTAGTGTTTATCTGGCGGTTTCCACATCCACTTTGTCAGAGTTCATTCGTATTTCGTGCATCCTATCAAGGATCACGAAAATATAATGAGGAAGAAATCTCACTGCCATATCGTCTCCCTAAATCAATACATTCCGGGTTTCTGCTTTTTTGTACCATTATTTCATTCGCAAACTGGTAATTTCAACAAAGAATCAAGATCACAGGTCATTTTTGCTTAATATCTTAAAGCTCATTTTTAAATAATGAATAATTCCTTGCATCTGTACAGGACAATCAACCTTGAGGGTAGAGATAACGAGCAACGATACTTAACCGAGACTTCACGATCTTCCTTTAGAATTCTCTGGTCCTCTTTCGGTCTGTAGCAGTTTGAGATCTTTAACAAAAAATTAAATGTATCAATTCTGCAACTGCATGCAAACAATGTCAAATAGTTATCGTATATTCAAGCATCTCCGCACTGCACCCTATTTCACTCTACCATAAAAATACATATATTTTCATTCACCAGGAAAGGAAAATCGAGACGTTATTGTACCTAGGTGTCACCAATACTTAATGAAATAAACGCCTCTTTGCTCTTTCCAGTCATACAAAAATAAATGCTCTTATTGCTGTAAAATACTGGTGAAACTCTGGAAATCAAGAGTATTCATTCAATTTTACTTAAGTGTACCATGAGGAACACGACATTCCGTACAAGAACAGAAAATGACATTTACAAATGTTAGTCAACGAAAAGGCACAGGGCAAGAACAAGACACTGCAGATCGACGTCATAGAAACTGAATCGTCCTTCGAGTTTAGGAAAGATCGCTCGGTAATTGCAAGAAATTGCTTTAGGCAGGGCACCTTTTCGCAGCAGTCTGCCATCCTCCTCATCTGTCACGTCTTGTCTTCGGAAGATATACAGCAGTCGACATCTGAAACATAAAGGAGAAATGGTACATGCTGTAACTTAACGTGCACGGGACTGACCTGACCTCACGACGACCTATTGTACGCACAACAACACCGGTCAAACGTTCAAGGATAATCAGCAATATATGCAGGCAACATATGCGGCATTATTTCAAGTCAGTTTTAAAATATTTCTACTCCGAGCAGGAAAAAAGAAATATATCAACTTTAACTAGAAACCAGCAGTCGTTATTTCCATAGGTGCTCCATGGCATGTACAAACGGATTTCTTACATTTCGGATTTCCGAGAAAGGAAAGCATGAGATTCCCTCTTCATTTCCTGATATAACTGATACAGAGTCATCGCATGGTAGATTCCTCTAAACAACGAGCGTTATCTTCAGCTCAAAGGACGGGCGAACAATGCCGACTGTATTGTATAGTTTGGTTTATTGAAAAGGCCATCATGGAATATCTAAGGAAGGGAAATCCTTGACCATTAACTTTTAAGTTCAGATAATTGAAGTAGCTACGTAACTGATATTGCTGCAACCGTACAAAACCGGGTAAGGCACAGTGACGCAGGGTCGCTAAGGGCGACAAGAACAGTATCTCATGTTACTGCAGCGCATTTAACGCGAGGAACATCCAGTCAGCACAACGGTTGTTACGCAAATGTAAACATCTCAGACAACTGCAACTGTGAAGAGATCATTGTAACTGCTTCATTTAAGAAATATAAAAAGTATCATGTTGCCACATTCTGACATTCTTACTTCGGAAACGGACTTTTAAACCTTGGTCTAAAATATCGATCTTGGGAAGATCTACGTAACATATTTCTCTGGTGAATTTTACTTCCACTGTCTCAACGTCGTATGAAGACGAAAACAGGTTCTCAAGACGATATACAGCTGAGCCTCCAGGTTTTAGAAGGTTCAACTATGCCGTGAAAGCTTGAGAAATATACCCCGACAAATGGACGAGGCAACACTCACCAGACAGCCTGGTCAACGTGGTCCGTTATGGAAAATCCTTCAAGATTAAACCACAAACCTTAAACCACACCTTCGTGCTGCAGCCAATCAGCAAGGGCTGACGATAACGATAGTAACACATGCATAGTCTGTTCACTCATCTGTAACACAAAAAATCATTTTACCGCAAAAATTATTATGAAGCTTATTTAGTAATATTCTCATATGCATACTCTTTCGAGCCCGTTTAACGCCACCTTCTGAAATTTCTGGCGAAACTAAATTCATCGAAAATTCTTGTTTTAGGAGATTCAGCTGCACTCGCTCTGCTTATCTATCTTGAATACAGTAAGTAAATAATCTGATGTGCAAGAGAGTTTATTCAAGTTTCAACAGACATCAGAAATGCGATGAATAACACAGACTAAGACAGTACAAAATCTGTTTCTGATTATACTGTTTCAAACTCGTCATTCTGAAGGAATGATTTCAAAAAAATTCCGTTAAATCTTTAATAAACACTGCAAAGTATTAGTCTTTAAAGAAGTTTTTCCTGCCAGACACTCCGATAGAGGCTAAAAAGTTATGTATATAAATAACGTGTCAACGTTTCTTAACACCCGCTACATTGAAAATTAAGGCTTCACATAAACGGTCAACGACATTTAAACGCGCTGTCCTGCAAAAAACAAATGTAAAGCACAAAAGAATTATTTGCAAAATGTAGCTACGATCAAATGGTACACATGGTCAAGGTGCGTAGCGATCGCAGATTAAGAAAACGATGGAATCAGAACAAAAATAGTGTTCGAAAAAGTTTCAATCTTTCCGGTGCTCTTTCATCATGATTTACAGAAGTACTGCTCGGCGGGAGATTTGCTGTCCTTCATTAAGCAGGAGGACGTTTAATGACCAGTCATCAATGGAATAGTAGCACTGTTTTAAGCAGACACGACTGAGATCGAGAAGCTACGTTCCGAGAATGCGTAGCGTAACCCATAGCATCACCTGAACGATTAGTATGTGCATGGTGCACAACCGAATAGCCAAAATAAGTTCACGGCTCATCCTCGTCGAAGTTGCCGCAGAATCCTGATAATCTAAAAAAGTGGAAAGTGAATAATTCGAAATGCTTTATATTTAAGAAGTTTAAACAAATTCTATTCATTTTACGCCTCAGCAATGCTCTTCAACCAAATGAACGTCTCTTTAAATTTTTGTATTTTTACATACGTTACTGTTTTGCTAAAAACGGGATTGATAATCGATTACTGCCGAAACATTGGAAATTTTCAAGATCCAATCAGAATAATAAACTTTAATTCATAACTTCATTCGCACATCTATATACGCTATGCGGCACTAAGTTGAAGTCGGCGCAGCCTGTAATGGAGGCCGCCGTAACAGTATCAAGCGTGTAATCTACCTATTATTTTATGCATGCACAAAAATCTTTATATTTCAAAACTGCACTGAAACTATGCTAAAGGATGCAATTACTGATTCTTCATCTTCATCTTCATCTTCCATCGCCGCTTCTCCTTTCGGGTCGCGGAGGCAGACGCGTCAGAC